CCGATTATTCGCTTTATCAGTGCTTCTAGGATTTTCACTTTGAAGAGGCTAAATTATGAATTTCGGCTTTCACGCCCTCTTTTAAGGACGTGAAAGTCCTTCTTTTCCTGATCCTGGTGCCCCATCTTGTTTTCGATACGGCCTATCAAATAACCACCAAAAGGGGTACAGGCTTGTTCGCTACGGGAGATGGGGCTTGCCAGTGAGGCGGGGCTCGGCGGGCCGCCAGCTCCACCTTTCTTGATGCGGGTAAGCTACAACAATCGCTTTCCCGCTTCAACGAGTGGTGGAAAACGGGTTTGGCGCCTCCTCCCCCACACCCATCCTTCCTGACTCGCTTGATAATCCGCAGCGAACAAAGGGAAGCGTGTGCGTAGTTGTAAAATTCAGCAGTGAACCAAATTCTTAACTAGCTAAATGCGACACTCCTCCATCAAGATAGACCCTAGCCTCGATTGAACTTCACATCATTCTTATCGCCTCATACAACTAGTTTTTTTTTCCTTCTCAAAAATTGCAGAGCAACAGTTACTGTAACTTCATATCGATTATATTAGCACGGCAAATATTAATTACAATCATAATTAAGGAGGATGGAAACCGTGCTACGAGACCTGGAAACAAGATCGACCAGAGTCTGTCTCGTCCTATTACCACGCATTCATTGTCTTTGGTGAGTTCACTAGACAGACAGGACAGTCTTAATTTGTCGCGTCGTCGCGCGCGACGTATCATGCGGCGATGCGCGGCGAATTGTCTGGGTGCATCGTATGTCCATTGGAGCAGCGAAACTCATACGAATTCAATTCAAGGAAATACTCTCTGACAAGCGATGTCGACTTTTTTTGTTCCTTTAACGCTCAAAGTTCAAACGGCATAGGGGGAACTCGTCCGGTCGGGTCCGCGCCGCTCTTCACGCCGCTAGCGCGGTATTCTACCATTTACCTTGTCACAATTTCAAAAGTTCGCTGGCGAGATCGGTATTTTTTTTTTTTTTTTTTTTTTTTTTTTTTTTTTTTTTTTTTTTTTTTTTTTTTTTTTTTTTTTTTTTTTTTTTTTTTTTTTTTTTTTTTTTTTTTTTTTTTTTTTTTTTTTTTTTTTTTTTTTTTTTTTTTTTTTTTTTTTTTTTTTTTTTTTTTTTTTTTTTTTTTTTTTTTTTTTTTTTTTTTTTTTTTTTTTTTTTTTTTTTTTTTTTTTTTTTTTTTTTTTTTTTTTTTTTTTTTTTTTTTTTTTTTTTTTTTTTTTTTTTTTTTTTTTTTTTTTTTTTTTTTTTTTTTTTTTTTTTTTTTTTTTTTTTTTTTTTTTTTTTTTTTTTTTTTTTTTTTTTTTTTTTTTTTTTTTTTTTTTTTTTTTTTTTTTTTTTTTTTTTTTTTTTTTTTTTTTTTTTTTTTTTTTTTTTTTTTTTTTTTTTTTTTTTTTTTTTTTTTTTTTTTTTTTTTTTTTTTTTTTTTTTTTTTTTTTTTTTTTTTTTTTTTTTTTTTTTTTTTTTTTTTTTTTTTTTTTTTTTTTTTTTTTTTTTTTTTTTTTTTTTTTTTTTTTTTTTTTTTTTTTTTTTTTTTTTTTTTTTTTTTTTTTTTTTTTTTTTTTTTTTTTTTTTTTTTTTTTTTTTTTTTTTTTTTTTTTTTTTTTTTTTTTTTTTTTTTTTTTTTTTTTTTTTTTTTTTTTTTTTTTTTTTTTTTTTTTTTTTTTTTTTTTTTTTTTTTTTTTTTTTTTTTTTTTTTTTTTTTTTTTTTTTTTTTTTTTTTTTTAATACGATACTTTTAATAGTGGTTCATCAATGTCTGGATTCTCCATCATTTGATAGTTGAATTTTTCAGGACCAACAAGTATTCTTCAGAAAGTGCGTAGAAACTGTCATTGGTCCTTGTCCCGAAAAGAGAAGGGTGAGAATGTTTTGATACTCGTTTACGGTTTCCCTCTCGGAAGCGTTTGAACCTTAAGTGGTGCATAGACGTTTCATTTACAGGAAGTTTTACATCTTCTGGCGTCAGACCCTGGCCTTCAATCTCTAGTACCACGTTTCGCAGTATTAATATTTGAAGGTAAACCATCGACTTTGCTGTTGTTTTACTCGATTCTCACTTGGCGGCGCGCACAAACTATAATAGGCAGTCATTTACCTGACGCCACTTGCACTGCGTCACTGCAACGCGAATCTCCTGACCGACACTTATTTTAGCCTAGAATCTTTGTTCAGCTCATTCTATCTGTATTAAAATCGTATCTTCGGATGGGCCGATCAAGACTTACGAGTTTTCGGGTAATAGGTCTCCCAGCATTTTGGATTTTCAGAAAAATAAGCGTTTTCAATTCCTGAAATACTGTGAGCTGCTCGCTATTTGAACTTTTACTAGTCCTACTTTGAGGCCGAGGTGGTACATTGGTAAGTGGCACATTTACCACGCGCGCGGTCCGGGGTCAAATCCTCGATCGTCTCCCGTCCAGACCAACCAAGCTCTACCCTCCGGGGACGGTAAATTGGTACCAGATTCGTCTGGGAGGATAAACACTGACTTGTACATCGGCTGGCCCCCGCAAGTCATTGTATAGGCCACATCGCATTCAATAAGCCACTACGATTCTGAATGGAAGTAGTATTCCTGGCGCATCCCAAGAAAGGATCGATCCTGCGGAGACTTTATCCTTTATTTATCCTTCTTCAGGTGTTCGCTGTAATATAGCAGAACAGAATCTCCCGGTGCTAAGAAATATCCTGAGACTCCTGAAAACATTGATTGACAACGTTCAAGTGAACCTGGATAAATGTGTGAGTTGAACAGCCTTTTCTGTTTTTTTTTCAGACCAGCTTAGTTTCAAAATTGTTTTGTTTTGATGGGAGTAGTGAAGCAAACATTACGCTACTATTTTATTTAAGATGGAGGGGAGAGGGAGGTAGGCTAAGGAGAGGCATTTTTGTAAATCTCTGTCCTCTATTCTAATACCTGACTACTTTTTTCAGTATCAATCAGCGTCATCAAGTCTTTTATTTCAGTTGCATGATATCATCCCGGCGCTTTGTTCTTGTGTGGTATGTCGAGAGTTATGTGCTGATCCAGAAGACAAGCGGCATTTTCGTCTTCGAGAATTTGCGGCCTCGATCCTGGCCATGATTTGCAAGTAAACTGCTTGTTTTGTGCCCTGTATCAACCTGCTCTTTCAAAGATTTTCCCGTTTTAGAAGAACTCATCTGGCCGACGTACGAGCTCGTATCACTACCCTCCTCTGTCGAGTTTTCACTGATTCGCGGGCGAATTTAGCTTCTCTCTATGGCGCATTGTATGCACTAGCAGAATTGGGTTCTGAGGTAGGAGAAAAACATCAGTTTTATGACATTGTGAACTGCAAGTGACTTTATGATCATTACGGCTCACTATTCGTTGTTTGCACACAGCAACGTCGTAGACTCCTGTTCGCTGTGGCCGCTGTTGCGTGTAAGAGGGGGAGTAGACTCGGAATCCTTACTTTTCCACTGATTCCGGCCCCATATGTAGTAGCTCCGCAGTTGATGGAGACTTTTCCACTGATTCCGGCCCCATAGTAGCCTCCGCAGTTGATGGAGAAGCGCTGGCGCCGCGGCCGGAGTCACCCCTTCCCTCCCCTTCCCCACCCTGAGACGCTTTAGCGTCCACAGCTGTGAAATTATGTTTGGCCGCTTGAGAAGAGAGGGGAGGAGTCGTAGGTGGTTTGCTATGAGAAAATAATGCCTGATAATCAGAGATGTCCGCCCCTCTAGGCGTACTTTGTAAGAGTTTTCCACTACGTAATGGTGTGTGCCGATGGATCCTGATCAGGGTACACATCATGATGTGTGAAATGGTGGTGCCAGCACGACCCTACCGCCCCTTCCCCAGCACCTACCTACCACTTTCCTACAAATTCCCAACTTGCTACAGCTTTTTCCGAAAGAGCTTTTTCCTTTTTTCCTTCCCAAAAAGTCCCTACTTTTCACCCAAAAATTTTGCTGTCGAGCGGGTTGAGAGGGGTATATTATACACGTATATTATACACACGAAACAGGAAAAATCACGCGAAAAGTCAGCAACCGGGAAACATTTTTTCCCAACTCGGCAAATTTCTCCTCAGCACAATGATTCCCACCCCCCCCCTACTCCAACAAACATATGTACGACCCCCCTCCTCACCCATAAGTGCGACCCCTCCCAGTGTTTTCAAACACGATGCTGAAGCTGCTCCTAATACCCTGCTGCTCTTGCCCCCATCTCCTTTTTCCGCAGTGAACAGTAGGTTCATACTTCGCGAACTGGTCGCTCTTAACTTGCGACCAATTCGCTCTGCGATCGGAGCCGCCGAAGCGCGAAGTATGAACGTACTGTTAGTAAATAATGGTAATTAGTCAAAAAAGCAGACTAAGAAAGTAATTTTCCAGACAGTCGCCGCTGTTGTTGTTCCGCGTTTGGATCTTCTCAGGAAACGTATTTTTTAGTTTGAAAGAAGGTCTACCGCCGAATTCCAACGTTGCAAGAAGAGTCGTGCGACTGATTGAGGTCTCGGTTGATTTTTTCAATTCTTCATTCATCATGTTTACCTTGAAAAATCTGAGTGATGGAAGTCCTCTATGAAAAATGATATCCTGCTTCCATTGTTCAAGACTGAGTGGAGAGTGATAGCAATAGTAAATTTGTGGGACTATTCAAAACTGGCAGTGGTCCCTGAACTGACTCAGATACAGTCCTGTTCGGTGCAGATGATGGGGCGTGTCAAGCGAGGTGGTTTTGGCGCGGCGCCACTTCGTCGTTTTTTTTCTTTCGGCAAGCGACAAGACTATCATATCGTATGTTCGTATTAGCCGTTTTGTCCGCAGTTGTTTTCGCTTACCCGGGCTGGCGCGCCAAAACCAGGCGCACCAACAGACCCCATCATTTGCACCGAACAAGACAGTATACACGGGAAGGACGCATAACTCAGGTATTCAGTCTCTTTTGAAATACACTCAAAATGCCATATTTGTAGAAGATGCTGACTCGGTTCGTGAGACATCGAAAAACACCTGCTTTGAATGAACTGGCCGATTTCCAACGAGTGTTTCCAGGCTTTGGCGAGGCGGTTTATAGGTAAGTTTTACTTGCCTACTATATTGCAGTTTTGAATTAGTTTGTAGGTTTCTCAAGCTGGTCATTGATTTTTCATCATAGCTCTTATTCATCGCTCCTTATTGCTTTTCCTGTCGTTGGTAGTTGGTGGTCCATTTTCTGACGCGTTTTTGACGGGGGAGGACCTAGCCTTGGCAGTCCCACTAATGAACTCGAACGAGAATCCTTTGCCCGCCTCCTCTTCATTTCACGGACATGTCGTTTCATATTGTGCTGATTCCCACTGCTGTTCTGCTCCTTTGTTGGCCCTCACACCAGAGCGACTAATCTCTTGTGCGATCCACTATCGCTTTGCGCTAAGAATTTCGTTGAGTACAGTGCATCGATTTTCAAATATGTGAGCAGCTATCGGAAAATAATCGTCTTCGAACTGATCTTTTTGTTTATAGGAAGCTAAAGGCAAGTGAACAACGAAAAGGTAGAACCAATGAAATCGGGAACCAAAATGAAGCAGAGGGTGGGAAAGCGCAGGTATGTCTTCCTACAACGTTTTCAGAGTCCTATCTAGAAGATCATAGATGTTTCCATTCTCGTTTTCTTCCAGGTCTCGGCTCACAAACGTTATCCTCGTCTACCGCAATTACCTATGCGAGCACCAGGAATCATTCGCCCGACACATGCATCGGTAACAAAGCTCAGAATGTTCAAGTATAGTAAACGTCATGAAGGTGGCGGATTGTTCCGTCAATCAACATCGACACCAAAACCGCCGGTAAGTGTCGATTTGACCAGAGATTATTGCTGTTGGGGAAATAGGAACACGAAATCGGGGAAAATGTGGAAATAATAGGAAGAGAGATAGAAAAAAGTAGGAGAACTCTCTCACCTGAGTGTTATTGTTCGAAAGAAGTTGTGGGTTACAGAAAAGATCTTCTATGTGACTAGTGCTGCTGTCGCTATAAGGCTGCGTTCATACTTTGCGGCAGCGTAGGCTAGCTTTTCCAGCGTTCGGCAGCGGCAGTGACAAGGAAAGGATAAGTATCGATCTACGTTTCACTAGCAGCGGCGGGTACTAGAGAATATGGGAGAGTAGTAGAGTAGCGAACGGCTCGATTAGGCGTCGTGGAAATTGCGGCGTGTGCAACCGCACCGCACTACTAGACAATACCGTACACTAAATTGGTTAAATTGCATAATGCAATGGTTGAACTGCATAATGCATAATTGTAAAGGATAAAACATTTAGGATCTTTCATAAGGATGAGCATGTATGTGTTATGCCGTATATTCGTCCAGAGAACGTTCATAAAATACTAGAAAATCTCAAACGGATTAATTTCCAACAGATCAGCCCTAAAAATGGATAAATAGCGCAAATCTGCAAAAGACGAGCGTTTTCATAGTTCAGTTCAATTTCAGTGCGACAATGTAATAAACATTCCGTTCCAACAGCCAAACCACAGAATTATGCAAATTAACCATTTCGTGTACGGTATTGTCTACTAATGCGGTGCGGTTGCACACGCCGCGATTTTCCACGACGCCTAATTGAGCCGTTCGCTACTCTCCTGCTCTCCCATACTCTCTATTTACCGCCGCTGGCAAACGCTAGATCGATACCTATACTTTCTTGTCCTCGCTACGCTACCAGCACTAAGCGACAGCATCACCAGCGTACGCAACGCCTGGTGACGCGCAAACGCTAGATCGATATCTATCCTTTCCTTGTCACAGCCGTTGCCGAACTCTGGAAACGCTAGCGTGCGCTGCCGCAAAGTGTGAACGCAGCTTAATGTCAGAAAACTTGAGCGGTGTACTGTCCATAACGGCCTCTGTGGGCATGTCCGTGGAACGAGTTGTGAGCGCGTTGGCAGTGATGTATCTGAACTGAACTAATTCCAGTTCGGGCAGAGACAGAGACGTGCAGTTTTGTTCGCTGCGGCGAAAGGGCGGGCCAGGGGGGCTGGGTTTGGTGTGGCTCCAGCTCGTTTTCCACCAGCTGTTGACAATCACCCGCTTCAACAATTGGTGGAGAACGCGCTGGCGCGCACCAAACCCAGCCAGCTCTTACACGCCGCAGCATCCCCACCAACATGATTCTACACTGGTTACGCTAGCATGATCGCATAGCGCCAGAGCAGCGTACGATGCCACAGAGCTACCATAGCACTACTGTTTTCGATAGTTATATTTAGTTCCACCCTCAATCCCTCCTCCTCCCTCGAGGGCAGGTTCTTGGGAAAAAGTGGAAAACTTCCTGGAAATGTGGTAAGAAGCGGGGAATTCCCTACCACTTTTTCTTCTAGGAAATCGAAACAAGAAGAAATTGTGGAAACAGTCAATAAGATATTAGATGGTAGGTAGGATGGGGAAAGGAAGGAGGGGAGGGGGTCGTAACAGAGGAGGAGAATATGGAGGGGGTCGTATTCTCCCGAAATTTTCCCAGTGACGGGAAGTGCCCTAACTGCCACACGTTAGCCCTTTCGGCTAAGGTACCATAGTACTGGGACACCTGATTTTGAGTGCTCTCCTTCTACCTGAAATTCAAACTTCGCTCTTCAACTCGCTTTTTAAAAGTAGAGTGGGTGGTGCATTATTCAGGTATTTGCAGGACTCGAAGATATTTTTGGTTTCAGCAGTCTGTTCCGGACAGTGGTCAACACCTGGGAGGCCCTCAAGGTGGTCCGCAGCATCAACTGCATCAAGGCATTATAGCCCAGAATGTGAGTTTAGTTGTGATATTTGCTTTCTCCGCTCGGCGCTGTGTGCCTCGGGAGGGGCTTGTGTGCAGTTTTTTGTTAGGGTCACGGTAGCGTAAGGTGAACGCTGTGGGACAGGTAGGCCTTTTGATATGCTGAAATTGGAATTTGCGTGGGAGAAATCGTTGTAATGAAGTGGTTCAACCTATAGGTCCTGTCTGGAAATCGTAGGCTGTCGTAACCTCATCGACAAGTTGCAGACCTCTCTCCCGAGGTGTATACCGCTCTCCTGTGTCCGTACTACTACTTGGAACGGTCAAGCAAAGGTTGGCAACAAGTGCTGGAGGAATCTTCCCCTCGAGGGGAAGTTATAGCATACGGTCCTTGATGATTATAAAACTTGTGCCCTATTATCGCCTTCCGATGAAACGGATTTTAGAACTAGTGAGACCATTTGGAAGGGGGGGGGGAGGAGGAGGAGGCTGCGAAGGGAGGGCAGGGTACCGCACGTGTATTGAGGGGAACCACAGCATAGAATCTGGTGTTAGCCAAGCTGAAAGCTAGAAAATCAATGTTACAGTCCACCCTTATCATATGGGCGGAGCTGGAGATGTCACTGTGTCTTCCCTATTTTTACCATTTCCTTTTCACTTTAGTATAATCATAATCACTGCAAGCGGTAGGGCATGTGACGGGATCATGGCTTGGAGCGCAGTCAAGGCTCATCGCACCAACTGTTGCCGGTCACGATGGCACCATTGGTGGAAAAAATGTTGCCCTGGTTGCGCCTCAGCTCACACCGCGTCATACGCCTTAACGTTTGCATGGATTACGAAGGCGGAATGGTAGGCCCGACTCCGCCCATATGATCGCGATGGACTCTTACTTCAGGGAAAGGGAAAGTGACGGCCAAAAAGCCTGTCATGTTTGAGTAGCTTTTCTTATTTCACAAGCCTGGAAAAGCGCCAGTGGAAGTCTAACATTTCTCAGAACATCAGAAGCTGCATACTCCGTTAAAAATTCTAATTCAGGTCCGCGGTCCAGCTATTCAGGCGCCAGGTCCATTGCCAGCTGTAGTGGTCGAACCGGCATTTCCACCTCGAAGACCTCCCCCATCTATGGTGGGAGAGCAACCAAGGGCTCATCCAGCTGTCACAGTGGAACCGGCTTTCCCAAGAAGGCCACAGGGTCCACGATGAGTGCCACGAGTTGTTGTTAGTGTGCCAACCAAGGCTCTTGATCTAGGTTTAGTAGCCTGTTTTTCAGCGTGTGTTTTAACTTATTAGGTCAGGGGTACATTCCCGATAAACAGTGGGCGGGACTCATAAACTTTTAGCGGCGCGTTCCTTTTTGAGCGCAATTCGGCTTGGTGGGGTGCGCCGAATGGTACTCAGTTGAACTTGTATAGACACCTTGTGAATACCTGTAGATTCCTGTAACCAGAGCGGCTAACTGAGGGAATTTCGCGGATTCACAGGAATTTACAGGTCTGATCAAAATGAGACCTGTTACTTGACATGAACCAACAGAAGGAATAGTGAAAGTGCAAAATGCCCCTTCCAAGCCGAACAGCACCTTTTGCCTTGTTGTAATGAGGAAGGCAGGATGGTAGTGAGTCCCCGCCCACACGGTTTTCGCGGGAAGTGCGTTTAGTTTGGATTTGTGCCAATTCTTAAATACTGTTCGTCTATGATTGCTTCATCTAATAACATTTGTAGATCATGCGATTGATTTATTTATTTGCCTCCAAGTGCGATTATCGGGTTTCTGGATTTTCACCTCATTCTACTATTTGTTGTTCTTTTACTGCCTAATTTCAATGTGTATTTTTGACTTTGTGATGTAGTACATAGTAAAGTATTTTTTATAACAAACAGTAACTAGATACAGATATTCTTTGTGTGTTTTGATCAATAATTGATATTGTAAAATTGATTTATCGAGTATGCGAACAACCTTCGGCCAATTTGTAGTGTACTTGTTCGTCCAGGGTTAGCACAAGGCCATCCCGTTTTTGTTGTGCTATCCGAGGGAAACTGCTATTTGCATGGTCAAATGGGTTGTTGCTGTCTTCTCGTGAACCTGGTCGTTGACTGAATACTTCCCTTCCATAGGTATTTCTAAATGCTTGTGGTGTATTGTCGGAGCTTAACGGCAGAAGTCTTGGTTCCCGTGACATAGCAGCAGCAAATGCCTCCAGTTCAGTGGTGATGTAATCTTTAGGTGAGTTTGAAAACGTCTGATTATCAGCTCCAAGCGATGAGTCCATGTCTGCCCTGGAAAAATATTGGTTTTGATGGGATGTGTGTCAAGAATGGGGGCAGCGTTGCTAGGGGCGCCGCGGGCGCAGAATACTTCCCAGGTCATGTATTGGGCGAAAAAGTGTTACAGAAAGCCATTCCAACTAGGCGACACGAGCAGAGCTAGGATGAAGGTCAAGCCAGAATCTTCTGACCCTCAGACATTGCGGCTGCGCGACTATGCCCCGTGACAGTCAGGGCACGTTCTGCCTTTGGGGAGAACCTTTGCACACAATAGCACACTGAGAAAGTCAGGAAAAAATACCTGTGGTTTGGCTCTGTTATGTGTCCTGAGACGTTGACAATCTCCGCTGTGTCCTCGTGGATGTCTTCTTCACGCACGTCCTCGTCATTTCTGTCGTGAAGTTCAGTTATCTTAAAATTCATAAGTTAGCGTGAGCTTTTGAGGAAGATTCCGCGATAATCACATAGGCGGAGACTCATAAGTGCGCTGCCTTCTTCGTCGACAAGCCCTCCTTATTATACGTAACACATAGTGTTTCTCACCATAGGATTAAAAGCGCATCATGAGGAAGGCACAACAGTTGCGGATCTCCGTCCTATACAATTATCGCGGAATAGTGTGTGTTTGTGAACGCTACTTTCTCTCGTTCTCTTCCATATTTCATTGGATATTGCTAGACCGCACTTGTCTTTGGATTTTTTCCCTGGTTCTTGGTTTTCCCATTTTCCCGTTTCACCACGTGTACTATCCCCCTCTCCTCGCCCTCAGCGGCGGATGATCGGTCGGTGTGGAAGAGATGTCGTACCGGTGGAAAAAAATTGGGGAGAACCGTATTAAGCGCAAATTTATCCCAGCGTCGGAGCAGGCTCTTTATAAAACTTCAACATCACGCATAGGGCGACATAGGCTTGACTCTTCTTCCGTGTTCAAAGTGCCTCTTTTTCGCCTCGGTCACCGCTCATACCCCACCCCCAACCCTTCTCTGGGGTGTCTTTGGGAGGACCCACCTGTCGGTTGATCATTTCACGAATCTTGTCGGGATTTCTTATCAGGGTTAAGGTTCAGATAGCCATAGCTCTCGTCGTCGATATTGAGAAGGATAGTTAGTTCACCGCGAATCTGAAAGCTGTGGGTGGAAACTGATCTCAGGAACTATTGTTGGTTATCGTTACGACTTACTTCAGCGAATGTTGGTCGATCGTTAGGGTCCGCTTTCCAACACCTTGTCATTAGTTTATAGCTGAAAATATTGATCTATATTTTCTTGGGACGTAGATATGTAATTTCTAGGTGCTGGAATAGGAACGAG